AGAAGAGTGGTGAGAGACATAGTTTTAGTCAAACAGCGACAAGAACAAAACAAAACAACTTTAAATTTTTTTTTTTTCGAACAGTAGTACAGGTACCAGCGTTTATTAACAATACATGTTAACTAAGCCCTGTGAGCTGACAGCGCTAAGAATTGTAGTTTTAAATGGACTATAAGTTATAAGTCCGACACTCCTTACAATTAGCAGGCTAACCAACAAGCATATATTGAATTGCTATGAAATAGGCAAAGGGGGTATGTGGAAGCTTGGATTAGAGAACAGGACAAAAAGATTTGGACGTTTCGGCATAGAGCATTCTTCAACACACAGGACAAATGACAAAACACGGCCAATCACAACTACATCACTCAACACAGCCAAACACAACTACATTACTCAACACAGCCAAACACAACTACATCACTCAACACAGCCAAACACACCTACATCACTCAACTTAGCCAAACACAACTACATCACTCAACTTAGCCAAACACAACTACATCACGCAACATAGCCAAACACAACTACATCACTCAACACAGCCAAACACAATTACATCACGCAACATAGCCAAGCACACCTACATCACTCAACACAGCCCAACACAACTACATCACTCAACACAGCCAAACACAACTACATCACTCAACACAGCCAAACACACCTACATCACTCAACTTAGCCAAACACAACTACATCACTCAACACAGCCAAACACAACTACATCACGCAACATAGCCAAACACAACTACATCACTCAACACAGCCAAGCACACCTACATCACTCAACACAGCCAAACACAACTACATCACTCAACACAGCCAAACACAACTACATCACTCAACACAGCCAAACACACCTACATCACTCAACACAGCCAAACACAACTACATCACTCAACACAGCCAAGAACAACTACATTACTCAACACAGCCAAACCCAACTACATCACTCAACACAGCCAAACACAAGTACATCACTCAACACAGCCAAACACAACTACATCACTCAACACAGCCAAACACAACTACATCACGCAACATAGCCAAACACAACTACATCATTCAACACAGCCAAGCACACCTACATCACTCAACGCAGCCAAACACAACTACATCACTCAACACAGCCAAACACAACTACATCACTCAACACAGCCAAACACAAGTACATCACTCAACACAGCCAAACACAAGTACATCACTCAACACAGCCAAGCACAACTACATCACTCAACACAGCCAAACACAACTACATCACTCAACACAGCCAAACACAACTACATCACGCAACACAGCCAAACACAACTACATCACTCAACACAGCCAAACACAACTACATCACTCAACACAGCCAAACACAACTACATCACCCAACACAGCCAAACACAACTACATCACTCAACACAGCCAAACACAACTACATCACTCAACACAGCCAAACACAACTACATCACTCAACACAGCCAAACACAAGTACATCACTCAACACAGCCAAGCACAACTACATCACTCAACACAGCCCAACACAACTACATCACTCAACACAGCCAAACACAACTACATCACCCAACACAGCCAAACACAAGTACATCACTCAACACAGCCAAGCACAACTACATCACTGAACACAGCCAAACACCACTACATCACTCAACACAGCCAAACACAACTACATCACTCAATACAGCACAACACAACTACATCACTAAACACAGGCCAACACAACTACATCACTCAACACAGCCAAACACAACTTCATCACTCAACACAGCCAAACACAGCTACATCACCCAACACAGCCAAACACAACTACATCACCCAACACAGCCAAACACAACTACATCACTCAACACAGCCCAACACAACTACATCACTCAACACAGCCAAACACAACTACATCACCCAACACAGCCAAACACAAGTACATCACTCAACACAGCCCAACACAACTACATCACTCAACATAGCCAAACACAACTTCATCACCCAACACAGCCAAACACAACTATATCACTCAACACAGCCAAGCACAACTACATCACTGCACACAGCCAAACACCACTACATCACTCAACACAGCCAAACACAACTACATCACTCAACACAGCCCAACACAACTACATCACTAAACACAGGCCAACACAACTACATCACTCAACACAGCCAAACACAACTACATCACTCAACACCGCGAAGCAGATTAGCAGAGCCAACAGAAAGAAGAAGAGTGTGGATGGGCTGTGGACTTAACAGGAAGGTCTGTTCTCACTCGCATACCAAGTCACGACCCTAAAGATTCAACCAATAGCATCCACAGACACGGACAGGTCAGACACTTTCGTCTGCTCACAGCACGTATACAACTTAATCTCCACCTTAACCGCGTAAAAGCAGATAAAATAGCAACATGCCCCCTTTGCAAACATTCATATAAGACAGTAACACATCACGTCTTCCAGTGAAGTCCGTAAATAATTTCGACCCGTCCCAGTAGAGCAGGGATTGGGAACCTTTTTGCCTGAGAGAGCCATGGACACCACATATTTTGAAAAGTAAATTCTGTGAGAGCCATACATTATGTTTAAAACTAAAAATTCAAATAAATGTGTGAATTTTGTGTAATTTCAACACAATGACCATAGACGGTACGACATTGACACAATGAACATTCTACGACATCCCCGTTGCTAAGCTGTACCATTCGCTTGATGTTCCTTTGGGTTCACCAGCCGAGGGGGGGGGGTGGTATTTTGACAACGATTTTATTTATAATCGAACATTTGTCTGCGGGACAGAGGCGGCCAACAATAGAGCCACAGCTGGCTCGCGAGCCATAGGTTCCCGACCCCTGCAGTCATGGGCGCCCGCAGGTAGGGGCAAGGGTGGCACTTGCCCCCCCCCCCCTGGATTAATTGGATAACAAATTTTTAGACAAAAAAATTATTAAAGTAAAGAGAAAATAAAGAGAAAGTAACTAAGCTGATGTCCATCCGTTCGTTCACCATACACATACGCTACAGTACATTAAAACTATATTAAAACATTACTAAAAAAAATTTGCCCCCCCTAGAAAGTTTTCTGCGGGCGACCATGCCTGCAGTAGAGTATTCAGGTATATTCTATATACATACTCTACTAGACTGGATTATACGATCCTCAAACTTGTTAATTAATATACCTATATTGTGCCAAGTACGGCTACTCCGGATTCCGGATTATAACCCGCACACTTTAAGTTTGGGGCTATTTAAAATCCAATCTTTTACGCGAAATTCCGATTGTTGACCGCACACTTGGGAATCAAGTTTGGACTGAACTTGCAGAATTGACGCATGCATTTTACTCTAAACGCCAGCCATCTTATTTTAAAGATGACCTCTTCTCGCAGCATAAAAGGTCATTCCTCCGCCGGCTATTGACATTAAATACTCTCTTCAATAATGCACCATGAAGTAAATATGTGTCACTGATGTGCACTAACTTCGTGAAAGCAACCTTTCCGTGGGAGTGTTTTGTTATCCGAAAATAAATGTTTCCTAAACATGCCCAGGTCCCAATTTGTTTGGAGAATTGACATTCAATTGGCTGCAATAGTTTTTCGTCATTTTTTTTTTGGGGGGGGGGGGGAATTTGGGGGTTAATTTTTTTATTGTTAATTAATAATTTGTTTTTATTTTCGGCGGGACACTATCTGTTACTTTGGAGAATTTTTTCGCTACAGATTTATTAGTTTTATTTTTTTTTTTTTTTTTTTTGGGGGGGGGGGGGGGGGTAATTTGGAGGTTAATTATTTTAATGATAATTAATAATATGTCTTTAATTTCAGCGAGACACTATCTGTTACTTTGGAGAATTTTATCGCTACAGATTTATTAGTTTTAAAATGAAGTACATGTATTTAAATGTACCAAATACAATATATCGACCACAGTAGCTTTTCGCCAATTTTTTTTTTTAAATGAGGAGATACATTATTTTAATGGTATATAATAATTTATAAATGTCTTTAATTTCCGCTTGGGACAATCAGTTATTGTGGAAAATTGTATTTCAATAGCTTCATTAATTGAATAGTTTTGATATTTCATTTTTTAAAGGTATCAGTATCGGTTTTAACTAATGTCAATACTAACCACACCCTATCCTTATCTGATCATGAATCATATTAATTAAAGAAAAAAAAAATCACAAATTTATGCATTTTATTTTGTTTAAAAAAAAATGTGTAGGGTCTCCACATAATTTTATTGCTAAACTACTAGACAAGCTGTGGCGGTATCCAAATCAGTAAATTATGGAAAACTATTACTATACAATGGGATTTCAACATTGTAAGTGTATTTCAAAAATGATTTTTTTCTTCGCCTACAGATTAAAAAAAGCGAATGAAGTAGCCATTGTTTAAAAAAAAAATGCATCGCTGGTTTAGTTTTCCATGGATTTTTTAAAAATTCACTTAATTTTACTTTGAAAGTCCATTAGCCATTAGTCATTAGTGATTTAACAGGCGGTATTGTAAAGCAATGTTTTGTTTTATTTCGTAATTATAAATTCAATTAAAATTATTGTTAATACAACAATATAAATGACTTTTTCACCGGGGGCGGGTGACCCCCCCCTCCCCATAGTTTTACCACTGTTTAATAGTTTAATGCTGAAAAGAGACGCATTTATTCTTTCAACGCGTCGTAGGTTGCCGACTGCTCAATGAAAAGAACGTAAGGGTAAAATGTAATAGGAGCAAATATGCAGCTAACACCGATTCTATCGTCTTGTATGTGTGATCACTCTTTTCCGGTAACAAACAATTCCGCATACACTATAGAAAGTAGTGCTAAAAGCTATTGCATATTTAAAAAGTAAAATTAAACTTTAAAAAAATTTAGTTACAAAAGTTTTTCTAAAATCTAATTTAGAAGCTAAGAATTTTAATTTATATGTGTAAAATTATTAACATTTTAACGCGTAATAATTACACTTTGACGTGGAACATTGTCCACCATCTTGTTGACACTTGGAGCAGTTTACGTTTAGTTTCTTATACCGGTTTACCGCAGGTTTCGGAATACAACTATCAGCCAAAATGGTATGTTACCTATTATCTCCTTATATGAATATCATACATGTTATATATCCCAGCCACTCCGTTTGCTTTTGTAATCTTATAGATCTTTTCCCTAGAAAAATGTAATTCAATACCCCTTTTCTTATTCTTCCTTCACGGCACTGACCACTTCTAATACTCGCATTTGATATGATTTGGCCTAAGTTGATTAGTTGATTGTTTCAGTGTTTTGTAGAAGAGTTTTAGGCAGAAATTGACTCGTGGCTCTCTCAGATTCTGCTAGGGTACGTTGCTGCATCCATGTACTGGCAGATTTTCAGACAAATGACAGTCATCTGTAGTGTAGTCGTAGTTTTGGGATAATGGCATAATGGGCAATTAATTCATATTTTAGCACAATAAATTCAATAATGAATGCAAATATAGAATAGGTTTAGGTTTGTAGTTTTGTCTGGCAGTTGGCTTTTTTTTTTCTATAAATAAATTAACTTGACTTATTTCATTTAAAAGTAAATATCATGTTTTAACTTTTGACTTTTGAGAAATTTTGCGTAAACGGTATGGCATTGGTTTTGCCAAGAGTTGTCTCACTCTAAGCGCAGTGACATCTCAACAATGGATATAGAATATAGGGTGAATAGACCAATGTGGTATTCACCCTGGGGGCGCATTATCTATATTATTATTATACATGGTTTTATAGGGCTAGCTAGGCTCACCACGCTGTACATACAATTTAACAAACTTAATCAAAAAACTTAAATTAAATTGACATACATTAATTAAATTAAATAAAACGAATGTATATTTAAAACTATTTACAACTCAAGCCATCGATGACACTCAGTACCATCATTATTCGGTCAGAGGTGGGAATCAGTCAGTATAGTAGAGATTAAAGAGATGTGTTTTGAGTGCAGTTTTGAAGGTTGTGATGTTCGATATATTGTGGATGTGTAATGGAAGAGAATTCCATTGTTTAGGGACACAGAAAGAGAACGATAGTTTATCGTACGTTTTTGTCCGAGTCTTGGGGAAAGAAAGAATATGCGCATCTGCGGATGAGCGAAGCTGTCGAAGGGGTGAATAGACAGAGAGAAGTTCGGTTAAATAGGAAGGGGAGGAATTCGAGAAAAAGTTGTGGCAGAGAACAGAGAGTTTGTAGTCAATACGTGCTTGTATAGGCAGCCAATGAAGTGAATGAAGTAGAGGTGTGACATGATTACGTTTTCTTGCCTTTAGAATTAGCCTAGCGGCTGAGTTTTGAACCTTATGTAATTTTTCTATGAAGTGTTTTGGTGAACTTGATAGAAGAGAATTACAAAAGTCAAGGGGAGAGAGAACAAGAGCACAGACTAGGGTTTTTGTTGCACTAACTGTAAGGTATTGGCAGATGGAGCTTATCTGACGAATAGCGGTGTATGCAGAGCGTTAAATATGAGAGATGTGAGTTGGAGAGAAGGATTTGTGATCGTGAATAAGGAGTGCTTCAGTTTTTTCATCGTTAAGCTTCAACTTGCTGAGTGTCATCCATGTCTTGACATCAACAATGCTCTCCAGCAAAGTCCAGATATCAGAATTGACAAAAGAGGGATGGGTATGCTTGTATAGCTGCGCGTCGTCTGCGAATGATTGGGTATAATAATTTATTTTCGAAACATTGAGCTCCTCTGAGCTACATTGACTTCATTGAGATTTTTTTAACAATTTAATTTTTTATTTCTATTATCTGTTGCTTCATGTTTTGTATTGTCTGCTGAAGAAGGGGCATCTAGCCAGAACATCATTTTAATTGTCCTGTCTTTTTCATTTCAACACTTCTTGTTAACTATTTCATTCACATGGCTTGTACGCAGTCCCTCATTTATTTAGATTAATAATTGCAAAATGTAGGCTCTCTCTGTCAAAAGTAGTGAACCATTATTCTTAAAAAATTATATTTATTGCCGTTTTGATTTTTAAATTCAAGCAGTGGCATAGTCTTCATAGGTCTAGCATTTCTTTTAAATCTTATTTTTAAGAAAAATAAATGTGAACAATTTTGAAATTTATTTGACTTCTTTAGGTGCTGCTAGCAGCGGCTGTATGCAATAGAACTGGAAAAGGTATGTTATTTTTAAAATATAATAAGCATAAATCCGTTAAATTTGTTTGGCTGTTAAGTGAGTGTAATGTCACTTAATAGAACAGATAAAGAATTGGCAATGGTTATTTATAAATTTTAAAAAAAAAATGAATAGCCCTAATGTATTTTGAGAATGAAATAGGGCCCAGGTATAAAACTTTACCTCAACGTAAAAAAAACCTGAAAAATATTTTCTTTGGAAGAATGATTTTATTTTATTATTTAAAAATATTTTAGCTATCATATCGAGACAGTTTGTGGAAATGACTCGATCACGAATAGAGGGTCTCCTGGCAGCTTTCCCTAAACTCATGGGTACAGGAAAGCAGCACACCTTTGTTGAGACTGAAAGCGTCCGCTATGTTTATCAGCCACTTGAGAAGTTGTATGTGTTACTTATTACAACCAAGGCTTCCAATATCTTGGAAGATTTAGAAACCCTCAGATTGTTTGCTAAAGTGGTATGTATCTTTTAATTTTGTATAGTGCACGCTTTAAAAAAAATGTTTGTTTTGATCAGGCTCAGTGCAAATGTATTTTTAATTAATTAGTTTTTTTATTTACTAATTTAAGAATCTCTTTACTAATTAGTTAGTAGCCTAATGGCCATAAAATTGTGTAATGCGGCATTATTAATTTAAATAGTTATTAAAAATTTTGAGATACATTGTAAAGCTATTCTGTGATTATTTGTATTTTGCATTTTCTAGTTGCCTGAGTATTGTAGAAACATGGAAGAGACGGATATTGTTGATCAAGCGTTTTCATTGATATTTGCTTTTGATGAAATTGTTGCCTTGGGCTACAGGGAAAATGTTAACCTTGCTCAGATTAGAACATTCACTGAAATGGATTCTCATGAAGAGAAAGTGTTCCAAGCTGTTAGACAGGTAAGTTTAACTTGGACAATCAAAGACAAATATTAAAAAAAAAAAAAAGAATTTCTTATGTGTGGGAAATGGTGATATTTCATTGTTTGTCACTGTACAATAGCACTTAGCCAGATGGAACTCTTTCTGTCAATTTTAGAATCCAAAATTTTTATTTGTTACAAACAAATTTTAATGTTAACTGGTTATTTTTTAATAGAAATTGTGTCTTCTTAACATTGCCACATCCAGACTTATCCAGAACTATACAGTACAGATATAGATTATTGGACTTGCAATAATGTGAACACTGTTAAATGTATTAATATTTTAAAAGTTATGTTTACAAATATGATTCATGACATGCTAAAAATGTTTTAATTTTTACTTCAGCTATTTAGGATACTGTACACTTTATACATCTGCTACACAATCCTTTTTTGATTTTGCAGACACAAGAAAAAGAGGCCAGAGACCAAATGAAAAAGAAGGCAAAAGAAATTCAACAAAGAAATCGAGAAATTGCAAAAACGGGCCGCAATCCTGGGTTTAATACTGGAGGAGGCTTTGGTAGTGGCTCTTATAGATCTGAGACAACTCCTGTTATAGATGGTGGCTCCAATGTAGACAGTCCTAAACCTGCCTACAACAAACCCAGGTACAGTATATATGTATTGCCATGAATCACTCCCTGCCATGTTGTGTGACTGTTGTGAAGCCTAAGCCTTTTGAGATATTACAGTCACCCTTCTTCACAAAGACATTCTTCTCACCTCCGCCTACTGACAGCCACAGCTATTTACTCTACCCTTCTTCCCAACCCAAATCCCTTTTCTCATCTACTTTGTCTTCGTCAACTTCGCCCATCATAGGATGACTTTTGGGACATTTGCTCAGCCCCGCCTCTCATTGTGTTGAGAAGAGATAAGAATCTAAGAGATCTCCTTTTTCGTATCTACGTCTGTGCTACCCCCCTCCCTCTTGGGACTAAGGCATGTGGACGCAGTCGTTAAAAAACCTGCCCTTTTGTCATCCAGACTCAACACGTTCCTTTCCCTAAGGGCAGTTTTCAGATGACAGTTTCCTTTGAACCAGCTGCAATGCTGTCTACGCCATTGTTTGCAACTGCTGCCTACGCCATTGTTTGCAACTGCTGCCATACAGATTATCTGGGAAAGACTGAATGGCGTCTCTTGAACAGATGTACTGAACATCTTGAAATATTTCGCAGGATAAACAGTCTCCTATCTGAAAGCACTTCTATAGGACCACAAGGGCTCCACTGACTTGGCCATCGCCACCATTGCTTCTATACCAAGGCACTCGATAGAGTGAACGTAGGGAAAAAAACTGATACATGCTAATGGGACCTTCAACACAAGGCATGGATGTCTTTTTCTTCTTCACTAGTTAAATCTTTTTTCCGCTCCCTCCATTTTTACAACATATTGCAGTGTACTTAATTTTCCTTTCTTCCTTCTCCTATTGCCCATATTAAGGGGAGGTGCGGGTGAGAAATTGACGAAAATGGCAAATTTTGAATAATTTTTTATTATTAGCTATTTGGTTTAATTAACCATTTCTCTATTACATTTTTATATTTGTTTTTATAAAAGTAAGTTAGAAAATATAATAAATTACAAATTTCCTGACCCTATCAATCAGAAAAATGTCAAAATTGTCCTATTTTTAGTGTTTTTACCCCTTTGTTATGAGTATTTGGAATCGCCCAATCCCTATGTCTTTGGCATGGTTGGAAAGATGGTGATTTCGGGGTCAAGATAAATATAGCTTATGATCACAAAGAAAACTACAAAAGCAACCGAACCTTTCGATCGCCGGTAATGTCTAGCTAAATTTGGTATTTTCCTGTCCTACTTCGTGTATCACGTGATCAAACCCTGACCTTTGAATAAAATAAGCATTTTGATTGGTTCCTATGTAGGAAATCTGTTTATAAAGGTCACTTCCGGTATAAACAAAACCGTATCTAATTTCGTGAGGCCTAGCAAGTTCGATATGTAATTTGTCGGTAATAAATTCATTTGAGGAGTTAAAAAACAACTAAATAAGTAAATAACCACACAAAATGAGTTGGCTTTGATTAATTGCCATAATAAACATGATTAATGCTTCTCCTTTTCGGAGAAGACCAAGACTGAGTACACTAAACTACTAAGACTAAGCCTACTCCTAGTGCTAGTCGCTTCAAGTTCAAGCATCGCTACGCTACTTTACCAGCAGGAAAAACATAGAAAAATACTATGCCTTGGTAAGTCTTAAAAATCTATTTTTCATTTAGATTCAAATTTAAAGTACGGTATCAATTATTTATAAGGCTAAGCCTATACTGTGCTCACTATACAACATTGAATGAGGGCTATACTTATACTTTATTATTATTATATTAGTAATAAACACTGTTACTTTTGTGATAGTGAACTGTAGTAAAAATAAAACCTATAAACAATTTATGAATTTAGTTATTGTGACATTTGTCTTACACTGTCCTATATTTATAGCTATTAAAATGGTAATATGAAATTAAATGTAATAAATTTCTCTTTTTTTTTTTTTCATCGCAAATAACATTGTCATTAGTGTTATTTTATTTTAAAGTAAAGTAAGAGTAAGAGCCCTAACAAATTTTGCTTGAAATACGTGTCAACAAGTATGACCTATCAGTCATTAATTTCATTATAGCCTTATATTTTTATTGAGAAGCATTTAATAAAAATATCTAAATACAAGTTTATTGTTTTCAGGAATCATTGAGGAGACGCGCAATGAGGTTGCGGAACACAACAAACCACAACATGCATTATATTTCCTGTTGATAAACTACACTGATCTGTTGTGCCTAGGTCCATTTAGCCCAAAGGACAATATGCACATGAAAAAGAAGGAGTGCCCTAAGTGTATTCCAATGTTTCAGATTCCTCGGCGCAACATATGTTCGATGCATCGAAATAAAAGTAACCTCAGGCAGAGGATGCAAGAGAAGACTAACACAGATTACATCACAAAACTCATTACGTGTTATTCAAGGACAAAAAGAATAAGACAGTAGTTGAAAGAAACATATCAATATTTCCCTTATTTTAACATTGTATCTCTCTGCGATGTGATTTTCAACATGACGAGTGTCAAAATTTGATACAGTAACTAATTAGATTTTACAATGGAGTTATTGCTCATGAGTTTTCTGGCTCACACAAAAAACAGTTAATATGCTTTTGTGGAAAAATACATGTTGCAACTCAAGTGATTCAAAAGTTGTGAGATAGAAATCAGAAAATTTACAACTGTCAATATTCATTCCGTCATTAGAACTCATAGAACTTACAATTTTTTCTTTACAAGAATAAGAGTTGCATTTTCAGCATTCATGGACAATGCCAAATAACTCTTTGGAATTGCATATTTACCTAGCTTAATTTTATGATGCTGCACACTTTTATAATGCTGAAATTCTCCAAAATAAGCGAATTATTATTTTTTCGACAAATACAGAATAATAGATAAAAATATATCAATCACAGTGAAAAGTTGAGTGGTCAGGAAAAAAGAAAAATGGACCTGGAAAATGATTAAAAATGTCCGCAATAGGCTAATAAAAAGTTTTTATTCCAATTTTGGTATAAGATTCTTATTTTTCATTGATATTTTCATTGTTTTTGTCGTTTTTCTTCGTTATTTCAGTTTTCTTGTTTTCACTATTTTTGGTCACTAATATCCCTATAACTTTTTTATTTATTATCCAAACCTTACCAAATTTTCACAGTATGTTCAGTGACCAATAATAAACATTTGAATAACCTAGAATTAAGATAACTATCTTAGAAAAGAAAATATGTAAAAAAGAATTCACCCACACCCCTATTTTTTTTGCATAGAAAATGGGGTCACAATTTCTGACCCTGTAAATTTATAACCAGTCATTACACCAAAAAGTCCTGTTATACAAAGTTTTATTATAGGTTAAATAATCTATGTTTTAAATCTGATAGCAATAACTTAATATTTGTAAAAGCCTTAGTGTTTTAAAACACACTAAAAAAATAAAAATGGCGGAGGTTTTTATGGGCTACAAAAGGCAACCAATGGAAATTTTTTTTTTTTAAAACCTGTTTTGTACCTCCATTTCAATACCAAATAAGGTGTAATTTAAAAAAATCCTATATGAAGCCTAACAAAAATTTTAGATTTTTCACCCACACCTCCCCTTAACTCTCTTACACAATAAAGGTCTATTACATTCCTCTTGCTGTCCTCTCGATACTACCATTTCAGTATTTATTTTAATTTTTATATTGGTCTAAGTCATTTGTTCACGGAAGAAGGCTTCTTACTGACACACTCGTTATTTTCTTGCATCCTTTTTTAGATTTTTCCATACCTTTCACATATTTCCTTGTACCTAACCTAATTGCAGTCTCTCCCCACGTTTTATCATAGCCAAAGAATATTAATAACCTTTTTCTTGTCCTTAGTTTTTCGTGTTTTTTGTTGTTGTTGTGAGCCTAAGTATATTGAAAATAAACATCATTCTTGCCTGTTACTGGTGTCTACTGATTAATTTAAGTAACGTTCATATTATTTCTGCAGTAAGCCATCCACTGGGCCAAGTCGTGCCCTCAAGTTGGGATCCAAGAAAAAAGATGTAGACACATTTGTTGGCCAGCTGCAATCTGAAGGAGAAAGTGAGTTTTGTTTTTATATTATTATTGTTTATATATTTTTTGAATGCTCAAAATTTTTTTTCCACTGAAATATACATAAATATATTTCACAGTCATCTTTCTCATAGCCATAATGTTTGCTAATTAAACTTTTAAACTGATTATATAGATAAATAATATATTATCTATTTACTTTTTTTTTTTTTAAAACATTATTTTCCAAAGGAGTGTCTGATTCTTCCAAATCTCTCAATGCTCCAATTACAAAGTCCACTACACCAACTATCAACCAAGAAAAGTAAGTAATGTCTTCTGGTTATAGGATAACTTTTCATTTATATCAAAATCTGGTCACACTGGTTGAAAATGACTAGTTCAAGTAAATCCTCATTGAGTCATATCACTGTCTCTACATCTTAAATTCATGCACAAAATAACTTAACCCTTTACGGGGCAGAGCGGCTGAAAACGTCTTTACCACTTAAAGGGCAAAACGCCCCAAAGCGTCCGTGATGACATAGTGTTGTTTTCTTGTGACCTAAGAGGCTTTGCGAGACTTCCTATTGTTTACATCCGTTTTTTCCGATAGCTAAATAGAGTAGGCGCCAGTTACAAGTATTTAATTGATTTTTTTTGTAGTTTTAGGGGTTTAAAAATATTTTTTTTTCTAAATGGATTTTGCCGATTATTTGCCTATTATTCAAGTGATTGCAGAGATTTTGCTGGATTCAATTTAAGTGACATTTAAATGCACGAATGGACTGTAAATTGGAACTAGATATTAATATTATTAGTATTATTAGTGAAATCAGCGTAGTAAGCAGTGTTGAATTTTACAAACTTCGATTTTGTGGCAGTGTTTGTCAATAGTGAATAGATGACTCACAATCACAAACAATATGTTGTTTTTGCAAATATTTGTGTTCATATGAGGATTAATGGCAACATGTGAGTACAATAATAAATCTGCATTCATTTTCCTTTATTTTGCTTTTTATTTCACACCAATTTGTTGACTAACACCTTAGATTTGATTTTTTTGTAACGTAACCCTAAATCTTACTAAAAAAACGGAAAAGTGGTACCCGTTCAGGACATGCAAGAGGAAGTACCTCTGCCCCGTAAAGGGTTAACACAGATTGATTCCTCTGCTGTATTAATTTTTTTGCCTAACGTTTATTGCTCAGAGTGCATTTAGTGGTGGAGGAAAAGATATCGCTCACCGCCGGCCGTGATGGAGGACTTCAGAACATGGAGATCCATGGCATGCTCAAACTTAAAGTCAATGATGAGAAGGCCAGCAAAATTAAGGTCCTGGTTACTTACAATGACACCAGAGGCATCCAGCTGCAGGTAAGGTTCTATAGATATACCTTTGTTTTGCATCACTTAGTGAAATTTAGTTGCTTTTTTTTTCTTTCAACATTTTAACCATTTTTGTGTCTTTTTTAAAAAGATGTCTTATTTTTAAGTACTTTTGTCTTAATTCTATTTGTATCAAGTAAGAAAATCAAACAATTTTTGTTTTTCCAGACACATCCTAACATAGACAAGAAATTATTTACTCAGTCATCAGTGATTAGCTTAAAAAATCCAGAAAAACCTTTTCCAGTTGGGCAGGATATTGGAGTTTTGAAATGGAGATTCCAAACTCAAGATGAGGCTTGCATGCCTCTGTCAAGTAAGTTGCTGACATAGCTGGTATTAGCAACTTTATTTTGTCAATTGTTTTTTTCTTTTTTTTTTTTTTTTTTTTTTTTTTTTTTTTTTTTTTTTGCACTTGAAGTTACAGTGTCAGACAGATTTATTCACAATTTGGTCTGTATTCTTGCAGTCAACTGTTGGCCTAATGAAAACGGAGAAGTCAACATTGAATATGAACTGGAGCAAGAGAATATGGAGCTAGAAGATGTCCAGATCAGCATACCTTGTCCGTAAGTGGAAACTGTTATCATCTCTGAAACATTTTGAACTTTCTACACAAATGTCACAAGCTTAAGAGTTTAGGTTTTTGTGTTGGTTTATTATTATTTTTCCTTTAAAAGCAGGACATAAAATATACAGGTGGATGGCTTGGGTATGAAAATATGGAAATCCACAGGGTGCTTGTAAATTGTGGGTGGAACCTTTATGTTGAACGTGATCTTTCTGTTTGAGCTTAAAGTAAGCAGCTGATGTTGCATTCTCAATGCATTATTCCCCACTGTAGACTCAACAGTAACTCCCCACTGTAGACTCAACAGCACCTCCCCACTGTGGACTCAACAGTACCTCCTCTTAGATTGTGACTCTGTGACATTGGTGGTGTTAGCTTTACAATCTATGTTATCTGTGTAGTCAATAATAAAATCATAAAATAATTTCTTTCCCCCAGGACTGGTGCAGGGGCTCCAGTCATAAACGAATGTGACGGTGAGCACCATTTTGACAAGAAAACCCTTCACTGGCGACTGCCATTTATCGATTCTTCCAACAAATCTGGAAGTATGGAGTTCACGATCAAAGGCCATCCTGAAGACTTCTTCCCAATAACTGTTAGTTTTACATCCAAGAAGTCGTACTGTGATATCACTGTAAGTTTCACTGCTTTGAGGTTTTTTAGCTGAATAATAGTGTTAGTGGAGGTCCTCTTAAGCTCGTTTTTAATTTTAAAGAATACTCAGAGTCTAGATGCCATTAAAATGAAAATCTCGCAACCAACATGCGAGACCAAAGATTATTTTATTGATTTGGTGAGGGGTATTATTTATTTTAATAGCAAATTTCTTTTTTAATTGTTATGATCATGAGTAATCGAGTACTTCTTGGTAGTTTGATATTTAAGAATTTACGAAATGAAATCATCAGGACATAATGTAATACAACACGTCAAGCAACCAGTTATGAATGTGATTCATTTTATTTCATATAAAATTAAATATATTATCTAATAGATTTGTTTCAATTTTGTTTCTAAATCTATTCATGATTAATGAGGAGCTGTTCCCATTTGGCTGGGGTTTCAAGGTGTACAATTTCTAAACACCCTGGGTTGTATGGTTTCAAAATATTTTGTCTTTATCATCTTGTGTTTGTATTAAGTTGTCGGGTTTCATTAAAAAAAAATGTGTTTCAAACATCTTCTGCAGGTTAATGACGTGCAACAAGTAGATGGAGGTGCAACAGAAAAATTCTCATCAGAAATAATCTTCTTTGTTGAAAAATATGAGATAGTTTGACCTCTCAGATTCAACCAGTATGTTTACGTATGAATAAATGATAAAAGTGTTATGAATTGAATGTCCACTGGAATAAGTTCCCAAAAGTTTGAAACATTTGGCGACCTGCTCTTTCCAATTTTTTTTGTCAGTGTAAGTGAGACAGTAAATGTTATTGCAAGAGATCATGGAACCAGTAATTAGTAATGTTTGATTACTAGCTTCAGTGACTGGTTCCACCTACACTGCCCTTAAAGATTTCAGTCATCAGAAGCCAAGGCTGTTTTAGTTATTTGTGTTTTATTGATTAAATAACTAGTTGGTTAACTAATCAATTGTGGCAGGATCTATTTGAGTGAGAAATTATGTTCATGTGGGCCTCTCATGTACTGTGTAATAGGTAGGTTCTCAAGAGAGTGAATCGGGGTTAAGTTCAGCTGCATGTTATTGAAGGTGGTGGTGTGCACTGATGTGTGTGAATGTGGATCCATTAGGTCATTTATGTTTGGGGAAAACACTTAAAATGTTACATTCCCATCCTGTTGTGTCTTGCATATTTTTTCCATCTCTGAACTGAATGGTAGACTCTAGGGTGAGTAGATTTTTGAAAGGAGAATAAAAGAGTAAGCTTAAGTTATCCTATTGACTATTTCTCATATATAAAGCTTCAGTTTAAATATTTCAACTTAAGAGAAATTAGTGCATATTTGTTGCAGTTTCAAGGTTAGTTATTGTATGCTCAGTTTGAGATCTATGTGGAGTAGAGTTAATTTCTTATCCAGCACATGCCTGCAGCATCTGGTAGCAGGAACAGTTATTCAGGCAGGAGCTGGGAACAAATTCTTTATGACATGCCATACAGCTAATGGCTGACCGGTAGGCCAAATATGTAGCCAGGGTCACCGCCAGTTGTTTCTAGCCTAGATTTATACCCTGAGATGGTCAGAACTCTTTGTTGCTATACTTGTGCATGGTCAGCACGAGAGAGTGCTGCATAGGTTTATACATTTATTAGATACATTTAGGACTTATTTTCTGTCATGCCATCACATTGTTAAAATTGTTTTGTCTTATTGATGCTCATGTGTGGAAAAATGAATGTATTATAAATGCTTTAATACCATAATTTTGTATAGGTTATTTTCTTGTGGACGGATGGGTTTTCTTTAATGATAAGATACACTTAAAACTGATTTGTGTACTGTTTAATTGTATCAAGATTCATCATAAATTATTATGCCTTTGTGGGCTATTTTGGTTTCCAAAGTATGGATATCACCATGGAACCAATTGGGGCTGTTTGAATTTGGTAAGATGGAACTTTTATGTCCTTTGCAGGCAAAAAAAATTAGATTCCTAAGTTTTGAAGTATTATTATTATTATTACTTACTATTACAGTGGTCTTATATTATAGAGTTGCACATAAAATATTAGTAAACATAATCATGACATTAAAAAAAATGACATACATTTATTTAATTAAAAAAGCTGTATAAAAAACGACAACAAAAAATATATGTTAAAAAATGGAGAATAAGAAATACTTCAAGATAAACCATTGAAGTTTTCTTTACTTGCTGCCCTATGGCAAGTTTGAAACTAGAACTGCTATGTGGTAGTAAGTAGTAGTGTATTGATATTAAAATGAACTGTCGTTTTTACCTTTGCAAAGGATGTTAAATTTTCCTTCATTCTGCGTTTGTAAATAAAGTTCTCAAGCGGACTTTTACAATGTATAATATTTACTAGTGAGATCAAGTTTTGTTTGGTTTATCCAGACAGTTTCAAAGGCCCTTCAATTTAAACAAAATCTTTTTTAATTTTTCCCAGTCTTATGACTTCCTGATTGTACAGTCTTGTGATTGGACTTCAAATTCTCTTGTCTGTAGATTGATTAAACCCTGTAACTGATTCCCATTGTTTGTTTTGTTGTTGTTTTTTTGTTCCAAATAAAACCTTTTGTAAGTGTTAAATTGCTAACTGGTAGGGGACAACCAATGTGATGATTGTCTTTATTGATTACCATTAAAGCTGTGTAATTATATTATTATGACTTGTATCTTTTCTTAGCACCAGAAAAATTATTTGTATGTCAAAGTGTTTCAAAGATGACTGAAGATTTGTTGAACTAACTACTACATTGTATACATTCTGTGAATAAATTATGATCTACACATTGGAGAAATAGATTTTGTCTTTATTTGTAGTTTACAAGGTAATAGTAATACAAAGTATAAAAACTGCTATGCTGATAACATAATACATTTTCCCAATTATTCAATTTCTAAAAGACACAAACCTCCTACACCTCTGTTTTGCTGAAAGAGGTTCTTAAGACGTAATCTAAAGATTGGCAACTCCAGTGTGAAAGAAAGAGCCTATAAAGCCTTTGTCATTCCACTTTTATATTATGCATCTTCAGTCTAGGACCCATTTACCAAGAAGAGCATCGACAGGTTGGAGGTGGTCCAGAGACGGGCAGCACGCATGCTAGAAACACTGGGCTGGTCACCTTTGGGGGAAAAACGACTTTTCAGGCTCTCCATGGTGTACAAGATAAATAATGGGCTGGTCTACTGCTTCAGCATTCAACAGAAACTAGTCCCTCTCCCTCATAGACAGCGACGAGGCCATTACCGCTCATAACAGGAAGAAACCAGTATAGGAATAGGAACTGCTCATTCCTGCCAAAGACAATCAGGGACTAGAACAAGCTTCCAAAAGGAACAGTTGAGGCGACAACGCTTGGCACATTTGCGTCTATTGCCTCAGGCCTTCCAACCCCCAGTGCATGATACCATCACTAAGTAGCCTTTGCAGCCAGTGAAATATCCTCGTCAACACCAGGCAATGAAACACTGCAAATCCCCTCTACATGCATAGGAGCCTGAATGATCAATAAATTAATCGTGGGCCCTTAATATAAAGAAGAAGAAGAGGTACACAGTATATGTACACCTCTGGTATGAGGGACTGTTTTGCTGAAAGAGGTGCACGGTATATGTATAAATCTTTAAGAGGTACCTACACAGAATAAGTACAAAATTCAAAATAGCTTTGCTGCCATGACACTACTTATTATGCTTTAATTTCAGTGATGTTGACAGCAACATAACCTTGTCATCTAAATGTAACTAAAAAGAATCATGGACAAAATTGGGGAGATTGTGGGCTGTAGATAAATTGTGTTATACTAGAATGATGAGCAAAAAATTCTTAACACGAATTAGCTTTATTCGAGCGGAAAATGAAAAATCTTTTAAAAATGGAAATTTTGACAAGAACACACGAGTGAAGTTCGAGGCGGTGAAACCACTGTTCCTGGTGCATTCAACAGTTAAATATACTAAACCACTTGTTCCATGTTGCTGAACAAAAAAAAAATTGTTTAAAAGAACTTTATTTTCATAGTAAACTTTACATTTTTCACTCAAGTTTAAAATTGATTTTTCTCAAAAAAAATTTCTTCTTTTTTCTGTTGTTTTGTAAAGTAGAATTCTTAAATCCCAGCTAATCTACAAACTAGAGTAATAAAATTTGGTGTGTATCTTCCTGTAACTCTTTTGTGGTTACTGAGCCATACAAAAGTCATTTGGTCAAATTCCTTTTTTAAAAATAATTGTATCTATTTTCCTGGGATGATAAATTTTAAGCTTTTGTGCCTGTGCCGAGACATCTATCTATAATTCGCCAGCAAAGGTCAAACAAGACGGGTCAAATACCCCGCAGGCTATTTATAGTTACGCCAGATTGTGGTTCAATAATGAGTTCACTAGCGCGTAAAATATAATTCCCGATAACTACGCTAAATGATATATATATATCTATATAAATATATTTAAATAACGCAATTGCGTTTGGTGCGTAATATTTTATTTTCGGAAATGAAATCGTCTCAATTTAAGTTTAAGTATTGTGTAAAAAATATTCGGTTTAAAAGTGGTTTGGACTTGAGTGAGAATATTAATATTGTTCATGGGCGTGAAATAAAAAGTGTGCAGTGTCGTATCATGGGGGAAGAGGTGTAGCAAATATTGGGATTCTTAAATGTGAGTTAATTGAGTTCATGTTTTGTCAAGTAACTTTAGGGTATGATTGGAAGTTCACGCATTGCTGAGATTGAGATTGCTGTCGCCAATGTTTGGCGGACCATACTAGTTATGATATAATTAGGTACTTTGACACAAAATTTAAATATTGTCCAATTGCCATGAATGATACATCATTTTAAAGGGCTAGCTATAAGCTTTACAACAACACCAATTTCATCTTTCTATCTTTTGTAGAAGTGGAGTTATGATTTTTTTAGTGATTTTTTAAAACCCTCTTCTTTATCTTTGTATTTAACTGTGAAAATGTGTGACCCACTTTCCAAATTTCTGCCTTATTTTGCCCAAAACTTTTTTATTTTAAAAGATAATGCTACCAAATTTTCAGGAGACATTCTTAATGCAACATACAACACAATGAACAAAAAAACTTTTAAATAACATCAGTACTTTCTATTTTAAATTGTTTTATTTAAGGGTATGTTAAGAAAAATGTGAACAGAAAAAATGGAAAAATCAATACCGATACTAACAAAGAAAAAAAAATAACTTGTTTATTGGATTTGAACTAATTATATGCTTGTGTTAAATTTTAAATAAATTCTTATAATTATAAAAAGGTAAGTA